AAGCTTGACACATCTGAACTTCCGGCCGCTTTGTTGACCACAGACGAAATCGGTCATGTGATATACCCTGTATTTAGCCCCGATGGTCAATTGCTTTCAACGGATGAAACAGGCAGGCACGTGGATCATGAAGGAAAACCCATTTCGATAAATGAAGCTGGTTTGCCGTTGGATGAACATGGCAAGCTTATACCGACAGATGATGAAGGGCAGTTCTTGCGTCCACTATTCGGTCTTGATGGAAAACCTATTGCTACTGACATGTACAAACGACCGATATATCCAGTGGTAGATGCAAAGGGAAGAGCATTACCAACTGATGAATCCGGCTTCACTCTAGATCATTACGGAAAGCCAATACCAACTGATGAATCCGGTGTGCCTCTCAATGCTCGTGGCCAGCCTCTTGCCAAAGATGAATATGGTCGTTACAAACTCGACACATCTGAAATTCCGGCCGCTTTGTTGACTACAGACGGATCGTCTTCCATGTAAGGAAATAGCTTTATGCATTTTAATGTATGTGGTTTTCACTCAATTCATTTGGTTGTTTTCCACTTAGTTTCCGAAGCTGGAAACAGATTTTTTGTTGCAATAGTTTTTGTCGTCAATGTCATTTTTGCGTGTTACTTCGTCTTCTAATTGTCACCGTGTCGTTGCTCGTATTGATGTTATGGTGTTTTCTCTTATTGGCGCAGCAGTGTTACAGCATTTGTATTCATATCGATGTTATGTTATTCGGTGAATGTTTCGTTGACTTCAGAGTTTCACCTTCGCACTGCAAAGTCAGTTCAAATGCTGACTTGATAATCGTTCTGGATGCATCGAGCAATGTCAGGATTCTTGATTATCGGATTATGAAGGAGGTTGTTGAGGATTTCTTGGTCAATCATTTCGATCTGCAATATAATCATATCCGTGTCGGTGTAGTGAAATTTGGGGATAAGGTCTGTATTTTTCCAAATTAAAATTTTTTGTATGCTTCTGTCTTATTAGGCTCAATCTAATATTTCGATTAAATTTTGAGCTATCGTTTTTCTTCATATATTTCACAATGTTATTATTTAGGTTGAAGTTCCAGTATCATTGGGTGATTACGAAGGTCAGAATCAACTTTTCTCCAAAATCAGTGAAACAAGGCGGATGCGTGGTAAAGCACATTTAGGTGCAGCACTGCGTGATGTTGCTGGAGAATTATTGATTTCTGGATCTAGAGATGTTCCTCGAGTTGTGATAATATTTTCTAGTGGGCGATCCAGGTACTGGAACCATTAATTATGACATTATAATTTAATTATGAGTCTTATTATTAGGGATCTAATGTTTCTTTACTTCATGTCTTCTCAAAATTTCATCTCTTTGTATTGCCAAAATTTGCTCTTGGAATATTTGAGAGGATTTGAGGAGATTGTAAATGGTATAGTGGAATGTAAAAGATTTGAATGCAAAAATTACTTTTGCATTTTCCAGGGATGAACTAGCAGAGAATGCTCGTCTTTTACGGGATGATATGAAAGCTCTCATATATTTAGTAGATGTTGGTAATCAAGGTGATAATGAACAGAATGCAGCAGTCGTTGGTCCATCATTTCCACATCGTATTGCTACTTCCGATGATTGGAGTCAAGTTGACTCTAGGACTTTAGGGCCATTTGCAGATGAATTATGCCAGGTTTGTAATAATACTGGTCAAAATTTAAATATTACTTCATTATCACTACTGCTCACTCCTAAGTCTTAAAACTTTTTATATGGATTATTGAAAGTTATAGTTACTTCCACAAATCGCGACAGATGAAGAGTGGCCAATCGAACCAACCACTGTATTGTTTACGAATTCCTCGCGCCTATGCAAACGAATTGATTTTCAGGTGAAGATTATGGATGGATGACTTTTTCAGTTGGATGCAAAATATTTTTGCAATGAAAATTGTCACTCTAAATTAGTTCAAAAACTTGAAATTTGCTTTTTTTGACATCATCCTTTACAGGCCGATATAATCTTTGCTTTGGATTCTTCTGAAAGTATTACATCCCAAGAGTACAATAATCTGAAACAAAGCATGAATGCACTTATTGATAAGTCATTTGATTTATCTCCGGATATTGTTCGGATTGGTTTCATCGAGTACAGGTAATCAGAGAATCAAAATTTTCATTTTATGAAAATGCGGTTGGTCTAATATTTTTTAATTATGTCTTGAAATTTTTCGATATGGGTAAAGAAATTTTCAGTTGGATTTATACTTTTATTGTTTATATTATCTACCGAACTTTTCGTTACAAGTATTTAGGTTTGTCTAACTTAACCAAAAATGTGTAGAGTTGTAATATTATATTTAATATCCATTTAGAAAATTGATTTCAGCGATAAAGCATCAGTCCCAGTACCTCTTGGTCACTATGATGATAAAGTGGAACTGCTAACACTTATCTCCAACAGCAAGAAACTTGGTGGTACGGCTATTATTCTGAAAGGTCTTCATGCTGCTAGTGAACAATTCAAGCAACATTCTAGGGATAATGTACCAAAAATTTTAATTATGATCACGCCTGGCATCCATAGGTTCGTGTTGTAAACTGTTTAATCCTTTATTCATCGTTTCAAGATGAAGCATTACAAAAATCTTGTTAGGATTATATTCATGAAAAACCGTAACAGCGTTGTCTACGTCTACTAATATATTCAAATAAGATCAGTTATAATGTGCTTTTTTGCACTTCCAACATTTTAAGAGGCAATGGAGCGTTTGCGGCGGAAGATCTTCGACGAAAATTGGATGTCAATATCTTTGTGCTGGCAGTAAGTACATCGCACAAAGCTCGAATGTCGTTGAATCGTTTGGTGGGGAGTGAATATGCTCAACAGCGTATCATAACAATTTCTGGTGCGAACAAACTGCATGAATCAGCATTAGTAGAAATAACGCATTCAGTATGCAGTAGTGTTGACCTAACTTCATCTACCAGAAGTCCGCTTTTGGAAACTCCGCATCGAACTACGAAACGTGAAGTTGTGTTTAGTGAGCCAAAACACAAGTACGTTTTTTCGAGAATCTGAGTACGTCATAACTGATTTTAATGAATGTTTATTGTCAGAAAATTAACGCCAAATAGTTTTGGATACTATACTTATATCACATTTTTATGGAGAAGAATCACATTTTTTAATTTTTCGATAAATCTAATTTTAATGAATGTTTATTAAAATTTGATTATCGAAAAATTTATTGTCAGATTTATCGCGCATATCAACTTTCAGATTGAGCGAAATTTCTACTTTTCCATTACGTCGCTTGAAAACAATTGCTACCGGTTTCACTTCAACACCTCTTTGTAATGATGGTTTGCTACGCCCATATCAACTTTCAATTATTGTTGACAGCACAGCCAGATCACCTGAACAAGTAAGAATGATTAGTTTTTGACATTAAATATTTTAAACTAAATTCTTCTATCCCCTTCTTGAAGTTTTTTACTACTTGTATTAATTAAAAATGTTTGAATAAAGGTGTATTTTCAAGGATTTTCGACTGGTTTTAAGTGAAGTTACAACTTTCTTGAAATCTCGATTTGCTTCACAAAGCCATCTCATGCAACTCAATTTGGTGGGAGTGGACAGTGATGGTATCTATTTAAAAATAGCCAAGTTTGGTGTTGACATGTTGGATCAAAATTTCGCCAAAATAGCGCAAAAAAGGCAAGTTTCAACCATAATAATAAGGTATTTTTAAGATACTAAGTTTTTAAAATCCTTAAGATATTAAATATTTCACAAATCGGTTTAGTTCTCAGATTACATATTATTTGTGTTCACAAAAATTTCTGCAAAACTCATTTTTAGTTCCGTCTTTTGTTTTTGTTGCCTCACCGGTGACCATAATAAATGAAATATTTCAGAGAAGATGAAGTTTCTCCTAAATTAGGAGAAGGTATTGAGGAAGCTATATCTTTGGCCAACAACCACATTATCAAAGGAGTCATTCAAATCATCCTTATTATCAGCTCTGATGGTACAAGCAGGTATTTCCACTGTTTGCTCTAATTTTTTCCTGGTTATGTTTGAAATGTGCCATGAAAATATTCAGTAGTTATTTTATAGCAAACTAGCATATAAAATAACTCTGATTTCGTAAATATTTGCCTTCAGCGATGATGCTAAACTGTCAGCAGAATATGCTCGAATTCATGGATATGGTATTGTAGCAGTTTCTATAAGAGCTCCGACAGATGTTCTATTAAAAGAACTTGCATTAGGAAGTCCTACGAAGTTTGTTCTTTTTCGAAAGTAGTATTTTACTTATCATGCGTTTTTCAGGATGCAGTTTCCATAATCCGGACTGTAAAATTGATCGTTAAAAAGTATGCGCGAAAAATTTAGACAGGTAGTTCTTTTGAAAGTAAAAGCCTACAACGAAATTTGAGCCATATTTACAGAGTCATTCACTTCTCTAACTGGTCTGTCAACAATGAACTTTTTCACAACTGGATGGCTCATGCTTTCTGTAGTTATGTTGCAACACCTATGGCAAGACGAGTTACGACGCGTATGACTCGACCTCCAGTCCACAAAACTTGTACTAATTTTAATAAATAATTGTTAAGACTTAAAAGTCATAAGCTTACCGGGAAATTTTATTTGCAATTCGTTTGTATTTATCATGGTATTGGTACCTCAGTTCTTTTTTAAAAAAGTTGGATAAAAAATTTTCAAGTGTTTGTATATAATTTACAATAAACTCAAGCTTGATTTCTTCAAATTCATAGTGAGTATCGTTCATTTAATGAAGTTGTTAGTTATTATTTGCTGTAATGAAATTTGTTCCAATTTTGTCTTTGTTTCAGCAAAATTATCTGTAACTGAACCAACTAACGTCAAAGTAACACCTCTTAGTCCGCATTCATTCTCCGTATCATGGACTTGTTGTACGAATAACAAAGCGGTGAGTTACTACGAAAATTAAGTACTATTTAATCAGTCGCCAATTTCCCGGCTTTAAGTTTTGTAATCAGATAAAAAGTTTGTTTTTCCTTTTTTTTTTGGTCGAAAAATAGTTTCTGCATCTTTACATGATCTTTCTATCGTTTTTGTAATAAGTTTTGCGCAGTTCCTATTAACCAGAAAGCATATTAAAACGTCAAAAATTTTTACCATAAATTATTTAGAATTATACTATTTTGTATTCTCCGGATTCATCTCTGATGAAAGAATACTGGCAGCGAGTGAATGCAAATTGTCGTGACAGTTTTGGAAGAAAAATAGATGAATTGCCAACTGATACTACTTATACCATTTGTGTTGAAACATCTAGTCAAACTACTAATAACTCTGTTCCGCTGAATTTGAATGAATGTGATGTTGTAGAACTTAATCATGGTCAGTCTGTTAGCTGTAATGAAGTAGATATAGTTCTATGCGTTGTTATCATTACTGAATTTTTATTAAGCATTTTTCATTATTTTTTCACTAAAATTGTTTACGAAAACTGTGAAACCGTTCTATTGTTGAAAAAATGCTTTAGAAATTACTGCATCACAAGATCTCGAAGCACCAGAAAGACAGTTGATCGAACCATGTCAATGTATATGCGCAGATAGCGGTGAAGCCGTTATTAAACCAACATGCAGTCCTCACATGGATCCATTCCGCCCTGTAGCTACGCTTCCACCAGCTTTAAATGGAGAATGTCCCTGTAGTATGTCTTCGAAAAGTGGGCGGTGCCCTGCTGGATACTTTTTTAATCGTGGAATTTGTTATGGTTAGCTTTTTTCACGTTGATGAGTTTACGATTATACGAGTAAGCAGTCTCTATTGCACGTTGATGAGTTTACGATTATACGAGTAAGCAGGCTCTGTTGCAATTGAAAAAATGCAAATTTCCAAAACTACTCGAAAGAACTATGTGTTCATATCATCTAGTTGTAATTCAAGTACTAACATTCAAATGTTTTTCAAATACCTGTTGCAAGCCAGATTGTCAGTGTAAAAATTCTTAACGCTGCATGAGAATACAGTATAAATTTTTCGATACATTCAACTCTGAGTAACAGATTCACTTAGATTATTAATTTAAGATGTGAATGAATGTCTGCAACAAAATGGAGGTTGCTCGCATGGTTGCGTAAACACTCCTGGTGACTATTATTGTGCATGCCCGCATGGTATGATGCGCGATCCGATGAATCCAAAGGTATGTATTAATGCTGCAAGCAGTTTTGATCGAATCGCAGCATTGCTGGGCCAATATCTTCATGCAAACCGATTTAATGCTAGTGGTACTCTTGTCGATGGAAATAATGGGCAAATCGATGACAAAATTGTCAAATATAAGGTTTGCAAATTGCTTATTTTAGAATCTCACAAAAAGCTAGCACATTTATGGGTATTTAAACAATCACAATTAATCTCCGTTAAAAATTTTATTATTGATTCTTAATTATCGTGAACATCAGCGCCTTGATTTCATGATTTCTTTCAAAATGATCTATCACATTGAAGTTATCTTTTCAACTGAAAATTATTTGTAATAATTTTGATTATTTTTGTCAACTTTTTTAAAGAACAATTACTGTAAATGAGCTTGATAGAGTTGGTTCCGTAAGTTTCTCAAAAATCATTTTAACTTTAAATTAAAACATTATAGAAGATCATGGCTGAATTTCTTGTTTTTTATTTGTCATCACTAGAATGAAATATTCCTTCAGTTTGGTTGTAAAAGAATCTCTTATTCTAGTAATGAGGGTAAATGAACACTGTAGCATTTGAAAAACATATAATCTCAGAATATTGTTATGTCTATGTATCATTGTCATGTTTTCAAAATTATTACAAACTAATTGTGATATCCAACTGCTTCTGGCTTTTTTTTTTGATCCATAAGCTTTTAACTGAGTTGCACGCTCATCACCAGATTAAAATTTTTGAAAAGAACAAATAGCTTCAATTACTTGATCGCAGTTAATTCTTGGATCCAGTTTAAAAATCATTCGCTTGCAGCTGCATTCGTGATCAGATCTTTCAACTGAGTATGTTTTTAGGCAACAGTGAAATCTGAAGATGATAAGACGATTTCATTTGAATGGTCATTGGTGCCGGCGGTTGTACGGAGAACATTCCAATGGCTATTTTAGATACTTTTTTCTCAAGAATACATCAATTTTTTAAATTGGATTCATTAATTTTATTTGATATCACAACTGGCTCATCACCAAAATTGCATTGAATCCACCAATGTCTCTGTGGAACATTCATATTTGCTGCTGTTGTCTGGCATCCAGACTCTATGTCTCGTTTCATTTCTCTCTAATCTATTAAATTACTGAAATTTCTCTCAACTTCAGATGTTAAGAAAACTGACTTGAAAAAGCAGATAGAGCTAGATTATTTAGATGGTCTGCAAGCAAGCTACGAAAAATTGTGTGATAGAGAAATTTGTAAATTCCGTGAATCTTCATCAGTAATTGTCCACTAGACCTCGATGAACGACGTCTTTTATTGATAATAGCTTGATTAATCATTCCTTTAGTCACTACTTTTATAATTAACTTCCACCTCTGATGCTCACTATATTTCTCCTCTTTTATTTCCATCATTTTATCACTAACCGCAGCATCTTTTTTTGCGAGTCTGAATCTATCAGGATGTGGAAACTGTCAACCTCACTGCCAGTTTACTTTGGACATAGATTATTCTTGAGAAGTAAACTTTTCCTCAAGCATTTTTTGGTAAATGAAATGTATTGAATTTATCAAGGCATCTGAGCTTCTGAGGCAGCGTGTCTTCTTCCTTTGATGAAAAAAATCCGAGAAACGGTATAAAAAATTATAGAACTTGGAAAGTATTGTTTTGAGTGTTTGTATTCGAAAATTGTCCAAATGTTTCAGAAGCTCATGAATATGTTCAAACGTTTGCTGCTTTAAATGATATTTTCAACAATCTTATGCACGCCTGTTCTCCTAAGCGAAAGAAAAACGATGTTATTGATATTGTAAGTAGTATGATGTAGATAACAATAAAATAATTATCTCTAAAGTAATATTCGTCGCTTAGTTATCCAATGCAGAAAAAACTACCGAAGCGTTTCAAAAACGACGCTAGTAATTTCTGCGAATAAACTATGGATGTTGCATCATACCAGGTAAAGGACACACGTACGTCCCGTATACTTACAAACTAATAACTCAGCCAAGAAAAAAACTAGTCTCATATAATGACTGAGACCCCTCGGAAGCCAAAAGACGTCTAGCAGTAAATTCAAAGTTCTGTAGTGCTTTGATTACAGCTCAAAAAGGTTTTGCAAGCGTGTGGCGGCTGATAATTTAAAAAATTTGACTATGTCTGCCAGCCACTCATTTGCATAGTTTTTCTTTATGCACGGTCGATTGTTGGTATCAGAATGATTTAAGAAATCAAATAAATTGAGGTATGCGTTTAATCCCATAAATACTTTATTTTCTTTCAAAAGCAGAGTCGAAAGTTTAGTTTCGGCAGAACACTTCAATACAAGTTTACTTTACCTTAGCTTAAAAACGAGTAATCAAAATGTCAAATTCTAAACTGTTGCTTTCTCAAAAATCTATCAAAGAAAAGATCTAAGTGAGCTAGAAAGTTATTCTGAACTGTGATTTCAAAGTCGCTTTCTAGATTCATAAAAATCATTTTGCTGTAAAGAAAAGTAATAGATCCTTCTAGTGAAGTAATGAAACAAACATTCAGTTTAATTTTTGCGAAATCTTTTTTAGGGATGAAAAAGTTTCATAGTGACCCGTGATTTGGTAAAACCCATCTTAAATATTTCTGGATACAATGTAATATTCTTTAATTATCTTCTGTCTTATTATTTGTCGTTGAAGTTTGTGCTCTTCGTTCAAAAACTATGCATTTAAGCGTAGTAAACTTTTTGAAACATACAATATATTATGTTATGTGGCCAGACTCCTATGTAAGTTCGTACTAAATAATTGAAAACAAGCTTTAGCTTATTTGGAGTTTTGTCATTTTTTCCATTCTAGTGGTCTATGAAGAAAGGTGTTGTTGGATGGAAGATACCGACGACGACTCATCGCTTAGTTCTATTAGAGAACAGAGTCCTTCATTGTCAGATAGTGGTATAAGTTTATTTATTTGCATAATTTATCTGTTAGCCTTACTGATTAACATTCATTCACAAAGTTTGGTCTAATTGTATTCTTTGTTCGTAACAATTCATTTAAACTATTATATAAAGTAAATTGTTCAGGCTATTTGGTTATACTGTGAAACTAAGTTAGATTCAAATGCTCTTTTACGTTCTTTAATTGACTACAGTTTTTTATATTCCTGTGCAAAAATTATTTCATAGTTAGAATTTAAAAGTTTTCAAAAACATCTAGTAATACATCTAATTTTCCTTTTTAATGGGTTTCATTTATTTTAATTGTGGCATTAAAACAGGTTTACAGATAAAAATAGCACGAAAACAGCCGTGAGCGCCGAAGATCGTGGAGATGATAGCTGTGGTTATCACAGTTCGTCTGATATTGATGGTGAAGATTTTTATCGAAATCATCCATGTGCTGCCAATGACCGTATGTTTTGACTTTTGGTAATAAATTTTTGGTAAGTCTACTGGAATCTGAATTAAGAATAGCATATTACAAATTTTTCAATGTTGGTTGATAGCGTCGATTGCTTCATGCATAAGTACTTCCCTTCAGATTAGACGCTTTAGTTTATTATAATGATCATATGTTGTTGTATATATGATTGCGATTATGTACTGATCGTCTTCATGCAGGTGTATTTGTAGCTTGGTATGTACGTCATCCTGAATTATTGGATCAGACAAATGATGCATATGATGAAGTGGATAGTATCGAACATAATTATGTTCCGATCGCTCCTGGTATTCTGTTCTGATATTGAGTTTATTGAAGATATTTTCAAGTCTCTTTTAAATTAATATCTGTTTTGTATTTGTATTTTTACTATTAGTTTAGATCGCAGTGATGAACCGTTCATACCACCGTCAGAGCGAGATGATGCTCCTCTATCTGGGATTTTGCAGAATCCTATTCTTGATAAAATTGATCCAAGGTGACATTTAAAAATAAAATTACTTCGCAATCCTTTTTTTTAAAGCAATATAAATGTAATTGTTATTTGCAGGCAGTTTTTCCCAGATTTTTCACGCAACAAGGTTCTACGTTTTTCCCGCCTCTTTGGAGCTAATATCAAATCTTCTTCAAGAACAAAAATTTGGTGGCCATCAAAAACATTTCAGCCAAATGTGTGTTTTTAGTGATCTCTGCATTATTTCTACTAAAATGTCTAATTTTAAATCATTTGTGTATATTCTTCTTTATGAGAGGCCACTTCATATTTTTTAAGCCATGTAATGGATTATTTATAGAGTCCAAAGCGAAATGAAAGCGAGAAAACAATAGGAGTTAGTTCGCTGTGTATTGGCGAGCCAGGAGTATGTAAAGATCCAGCAGAAGTCAGTTCTCTATACTTGAATATTTATGAAAAAATTTTGAATAGATTTCTAGTTTTCAAAAATTCCAGATTCCGAAAGTAAGTACAGAAATGTATGGTCCAGAGTTAATATTTGGAAATCCTCCTCATCGTGAAGAGTGTGTTGTGGATGACAAAATTCTTCTAATGAGACCTTCAAGTTCAAGATTATCGACGAAAGATGGTAACTGTAATGGTGATGCAAATCATGTATTACCTTGGAGGTTTTTCTTTTTTTCTTCAAAGGACTTTTTGATTAACAATATAGGATAGAGATTTTTAATGAATTTTCATTGTTTGCTAGTCTTACAAGAACATACATCTCTATAAAATTGTTCTGTTGCATATATGGATGGGATACTTCAGATTTGGTCCAGCACGTATTTGGTATGATGCAATGAATGTTCCACCAAATCCATCTCATTTTGATTATGGGTTCAAATTGAAACGAGAGGTTTGTTTTTTGGTGTGTTGTGTTTTTATTGTTATTTTATTACGAATATCTGATTAATCAATTATGTTTTTGCAGCAGTCGCAACGAAAAAAAAGTTTCGTGAAAGAGGAAAAAAGTGAGGATGAGGTAGTTCAGGAAGAAATTGGTCCAGGATTAGCAGATTGCGAGCCATTTCCTCCCGATACATTTCTTCCTGTAAATTTAATACGATGGGAAGATGACATAATGTTTGATGAAGAACAAGCGAAACGTTTAGTATGTTTTTAAACGTAAAAGCTTGTATCTTTCTTCCTGAAATGAAAAAGTGTTTTTCATATCTATTGCAGATTTTAAAAGGTCTGACTTCGCACTCTATAGATAAGTTGCCGGAATGTGGTTGGATACCAACGCAGCAAACTAGAAATTATGAAGCCTTCATGACAGCTTGTAAGTGTTTAGTTGTCGATGTATCTTGATTCATCATTGTTTTGATATCATATAGGGGTTAACTATCTAGCTTGCAGTTTCTAATCTTTTCAAATTTTTTTTTAGTCAGAAGTCGTGCATTTGAACATATGTTCGCAAAACCAGGCACACATCTTCTGATGAGCACTATTAATTCAAGTTTGTTTGCAATCGAAACATTTGTTTTAGAGAAAATAAAAAATTAATCAGCAGAATAAAATAAAAATATTCAAAGGAATTTTGTTGCAAATATTTCTGCAGTAAGAACTATATGTTCGAAAATCAGTACTTATCATTGTGTTCAGTATTGTAAATTAGTCAGAGATGGTTTTTTGTCAACCTGATAAGTTATCAAAACAGAAATAAGATGAAATTCTTTATTTGTTAGTCGAACTTGGCATATCTAAGAATTAGATGGTTGTTGAATTAACGAGGATGAAATCTAATTGCAACATTTATTTTCGGCATTCTGCGAAAAAATTATTATATACAGTATGGTTGATTTTGAGAATTCACACAAAACTTTTTCTTCTGATATATGAAAATTTGTTAGTTGTTTTTCAAAATAGTTATCGGTGATTTTTTTAGATTTTCCAAAAGAACCTTCGTCTTCGTTTTCTCTTTTTCCTATGGAAAACTATGATTTGTTGTACACGAGATGGGAAGACGACATTATATGGGATGCAGAAAACATGGATCGAATACCAGGTTATAATAAACGAGTGTGTATGCTTGTATGTGTGCATGTGTG